CAATACAACGTAGCCCCTTCATGGCTATTGCCAATCCCATTCCCCTTTCGACAGCTCATTAAAGTCTATGGAAAGTCAAAGAGCTTGATGTGGACATGGATGTGGGAAGATGTCTTTTAGACGCCACTAGAGCTCCGCTTGATCCAGCGAACTGGTCTCCAGCATGGAAATGGGGAATGAGTGAGAGCTGCGGTTGTGGCTCAGTTTATATTGGTTCGGTGGTTCGGTGGTTCAGTGGTTCGGCGCTTAGTTAAGCGTGTAATGGGCTAGTCCATCCCAGGGCGGAAGTAGTAGCCACTGCACCACTGACCACTTCGCCTGCCTGCCTGCCTGCCCCTCCACTTGGCTCCCTTGAACTCCCTTTTTGATCTACACCTTCTCCATTCAAATGGAGGCTGTCAGCACTGGCAGTTAGAGAAGTGGAACGAAAGGGGCGGAGATCGCGGGCCAGAAAGGCCAAGAAAGGAAGTAGCACTCATCGCTTAACTTCTGGGAAAAAAGATCTTGGCATTTCTAAGGCATTAAATCACGTCTAAACTGGTTAGTGGTACTTCGGGATTTGAAACCTTATCATATATTATTTATGTTAACTAAATTGAAAGTTTTCGATTTGAAACCGTATATGATAAATAGAAATCCATTGATTTTTGTTTATATTTTTCTTTTAAAGCGAAGATAAGATCAATCCATTTAGAAATTACTCATATGCCTTATGCCAGTCTTGCAACTTTGTCATGTATATATGATACATAGAAACCTATAGCCTTTTAGTACTTCCTCAGTTAGTATATCCTTTGTTCTAACCCCCCAAATTTTCCTTTTTTTCTATTCACAGATCGCAATGCAGTCAGCCGAAAGCAGTAGAAATCGCAACCGATCTCCGGCGCACATGGGTCTCCACTTGGGTCCGCTACTCCTGTCCGCCGTGTTGGTCCTGCTGGTGTCCTTGCCCGGCCAAATCGATGCCCGCATGGCCTTTGAGAAGCTGACGGACTTTGATTTCCCGGGCAACACGTACTACAGCGTCAAGAATCTGTCGCTGTACGAGTGCCAAGGATGGTGTCGCGAGGAGGCCGATTGCCAGGCGGCGGCCTTCAGTTTCGTGGTGAATCCGTTGTCGCCCTCACAGGAGACCCATTGTCAGCTGCAGAACGACTCGTCGGCGGCCAATCCATCGGCAGCTCCGCAGAGGAGCGCCAACATGTACTACATGGTGAAGTTGCAGCTGCGCAGCGAGAATGTCTGCCATCGTCCGTGGAGTTTTGAGAGGGTCCCAAACAAGGTGATCCGTGGCCTGGACAACGCCCTGATCTACACCAGCACCAAGGAGGCCTGCCTGTCGGCTTGCCTCAACGAAAGGCGTTTCGTCTGCCGATCGGTGGAGTATGACTACAACAACATGAAGTGTGTGCTCAGTGACTCGGATCGACGCAGTTCCGGACAGTTTGTCCAGCTGGTGGACGCCCAGGGTACGGATTACTTTGAGAATCTCTGCCTGAAGCCTGCTCAGGCCTGCAAGAACACTCGCTCGTTTGGCAATGCACAGAAGATGGGCGTCTCCGAGGAGAAGGTGGCCCAATATGTGGGTTTGCACTACTATACGGACAAGGAACTCCAGGTGACCTCCGAGTCTGCCTGCCGTTTGGCCTGTGAGATCGAATCCGAGTTCCTGTGCCGTTCTTTCCTGTATCTGGGTCAGCCCCAGGGTGCCCAGTACAACTGCCGGCTGTATCATTTGGATCACAAGACCCTGCCCGATGGGCCATCCACCTATTTGAACCACGAGCGCCCGCTGATCGACCATGGTGAGCCCATTGGTCAGTACTTTGAGAATCAGTGCGAGAAGGCCGCCGGATCGGGAGCTGGATCTCCGCCCGGCACTCTCGACAAGATCGACACTCTGCCCGTTAGCCTGGACACCATTGAGGATCCCAACCTCACAAACTTGACGCGCAATGACGTAAACTGCGATAAGACCGGAACTTGCTACGATGGTAAGTCCTTTGTGAATCTGAGGAGAGATCTTTGTATAAACTTTGTACACAACCTTTCCAGTTTCCGTGCACTGCAAGGACACCAGAATTGCCGTCCAGGTCCGCACCAACAAGCCCTTCAATGGACGTATCTACGCTTTGGGACGCTCGGAGACCTGTAACATCGATGTGATCAACTCGGATGCTTTCCGTTTGGATCTGACCATGGCCGGACAGGATTGTAACACACAGAGTGTGGTAAGTCAATTGGAGTCCTTTCGTAAATAGATAGATAGTAATAGACCTTACCTCGATTTCCAGACTGGCGTCTACTCCAACACAGTGGTTCTGCAGCATCACAGTGTGGTGATGACCAAGGCCGACAAGATCTACAAGGTGAAGTGCACCTACGACATGAGCTCTAAGAACATCACCTTCGGCATGATGCCCATCCGCGACCCGGAGATGATCCACATCAACTCATCGCCCGAGGCTCCACCGCCAAGGATCCGCATCCTGGACACCCGACAGCGCGAGGTGGAGACTGTGCGCATCGGCGATCGCCTCAACTTCCGCATCGAGATCCCCGAAGACAGTGAGTTTTGGCATACACGGGATTCGAAATTAGCTCTCTTACCTATAAATTGACAAACTTACAGCTCCCTATGGCATCTTCGCTCGGTCTTGCGTGGCCATGGCCAAGGACGCCCGCACCAGCTTCAAGATCATCGACGACGATGGCTGCCCCACCGATCCCACCATCTTCCCCGGCTTCACCGCCGATGGAAATGCTCTGCAGTCCACATACGAGGCATTCCGATTCACGGAGAGCTACGGTGTCATCTTCCAGTGCAATGTCAAGTACTGCTTGGGTCCATGTGAACCGGCTGTGTGCGAATGGAACATGGAGTCGTTCGAGTCCCTGGGCAGAAGGCGTCGTCGTTCCATCGAGAGGTGAGTAAAGTATAAAGTATAAAGTATTTATTTAAAAATAGCTATATGCATCAGTAAAACGCGATTTGAGTATACAAATGGTATAATATTACATAACTTCCAATCGTTCCAGCAATGAGACCAAGAGCGAGGACGATATGAACATCTCCCAGGAGATTCTGGTCCTGGACTTTGGCGATGAGAAGCGTGAGTTCTTCAAGGCTGATCCCAGCACGGACTTTGCCAAAGGTGAGTGTGTTTTTAAGGAAGTAACCCAATTAGATTGTCAGGACTAACTCAACTTCCGTTTCATTTTGCAGACAAAACTGTCACCATTATCGAGCCCTGCCCGACGAAGACATCGGTGCTGGCCCTCGCGGTCACCTGTGCGCTGATGATCCTGCTCTACATCTCCACCGTGTTCTGCTACTACATGAAGAAGTGGATGCAGCCCCACAAGATCGTAGCATAAGTCCGAAACGAGCGGAATTTGAAACAGGAGGAACAAGAAAAAGCAGTAGAACGAAAGAAAAAAAAAACAAGAAAGAAAAGAAAACAAAAAGAAAATACACAACAAAATTGTCACTCTTACATATGCTCTCTCTCTCACACACAACACACACACACACACTCTCTAACTCTATATCTTTGTCTCGCTCTTGCCCAGGCGATATAGCCCCTCCCATCCCCACTCACACTCGTACACACTACTGACAACCGTATAATTTTTTGTTTTTTTTTTTTTTTTAAATGATATATATATAAATTAATTACGTAATATACAATTTATTTATTTATATTTATTTAGACTTAGAGCGTGAGATACAAATTCCCTTGAGAGAAAACGAAACAAAAACCTTTCCTAGTAGACACATACACACACACACACACATATACAAGCACATTTCACATATGCGAATTAGTAAGAGAAAAGAAAGGAAAAAAAGTAAGAAGGAAAAATGATGCGAGCGCGTACTTTCTATAAAGTTACGAAAGGGAACAATGCAAATGGAACATTGTCCTTGCTAGAGAAATATAGAGAAAGAGAGAGAGAGAGCGAAAGAGGGGGCAGATGATTGGGGGAGAGAGATAGAGATAGGATGATAGATCATGATCCCTTTTGTAACTTCTATAGAGACTGCAGCCGCACACACTCGCACTCAATCACACTCACACTCACTTACACACTCACCCGTTTCCATACTCATTTACACACACCCACACGCACTCACATTTATTTAATTGTAAAAGGAACGCAATAAACAGCAAGCAAAAGCAATCTAAACGAAACTAAGGATAACTGATCGAAGAAGCAGAGACAAGAAAATTAATTTCATCGATAACAAATCAATGGAATTGTGCTTAATTGTATTGCATTTATTTAATTTAAATTTATTTATGATAATAAAGAAACGATAATGACAACGTAAAAGCATTTCCCTTGTTTTTGGACATGTTCCTACTCCTAAAAAAATATTTATAAGGTTATTTATTTATAACCTTTTGAATTTAAGTGTTGCTTGCGTTTTAAATTGAATACAGTGAGAATGTTTAAATTAAAAATCCTGCCCAGCTTCAAGAAAGACTGCATTTTTGGCACACTTTTGGGCTGCTGCAGTTTTCGGATAGCTGCCAAAACTCGAGGGTAACGTGGCCTGAGCATCGAATGTCATACCTCGGCGAAGTCATACAAAGACTCCCCATAAATTGGCATTCAAACCTGGAACTTTTTTTTCAGCCTCAAAATCGCAAAATTAAGTGATGGTTACATCAGTGAAAATCAATATTCGGACTAAATATTGTTTTATCGGAATCGGGAAAAAAGTGGTGGGGTTCGTTCGATTAGGTCGTTAGCAGTCCGTAATTGTCGTTTTTTTTTACCGTGGGTTCTGTTTTGAGCGAGTTTTCTGCAAAAACACTTTTCGGAGTAGTTTTTTTTTTGATAAATGGTGACTGTTTTGGAAAGCTTAGGACCTAAACTATTACGTTATTTTTCTCGAAAACATGATACCAAGTTAAATTTTGGCTGCTTTAAATGCAAATTGATAAGGAACTTAAAAAAAGTAATAATGGCAATAAAATACTTTTGCAGTGTTTTGTTAGAAACTTATTTCTTTATTGTGTTGTATAAATGCAGTTTTATATTCATAATTCATCGCTAGACAATACTTAAATCTAACATACTGAGAAGGACGGAGTCTGTTTTGTTAGAATTGTAAGCGTTAATGATACAAAGGTGCTTATACTATATTTGAATTCATCAGCACACTTCAAATAACTTTTGACTTTTGATACACTTTGTTTTCACTTCACAATTGGTTGTAGAAGTTCTAGAATTCTGTTGTTTTATTCAGAGAGTATAAAACAGAAACTTGCCATTGTCATATTGTACAAATCAAAAAATCGTAAAAAAAAGTTATACGATTTGACCTGTAAAAAAGTGTCATCTGCTTATAAAAAAAGCTTAAATAATATTCAAGTTCCTGTTTTTTTTGTTTCAACTGGAACATCTTTTACTGGGGTGTGCTAAAAATCTCTGTTAATTTGCTGGTTGGTTGACCCCAGATCGCAATACCTAAAGTAAGCTACAAACTAAGATTAGTGGCGTGGGGATGATATCCCATTACAAGGATACCTCTCTCGCCCTCTTGCACTTGGTAGTCCTTGAAGGTGGGCCAGTGTGTCCAGGTGAACCGAGGTCACCTCAGCCGCAATGGTTTAATTTCAGCCAATCCATGTTCCGGAGCCTTCGACTTGGCCGCCGCCACACAGGTCTCCTTGAGCGACTTGCCCGCCGGCCGTTTGACGCACTCATCAAAGTAGCACTTCTCCACGTTGTGCAGGAACTCCACCAGCAGTCGGTCATCGCCGCCATTCGGTCCCACGGAATACTCGCACTCGTAGCCATGCTGCTTGAGATCCCGCACACAGCAGTCGATGAATTCCGCATTGGCGGAGAACCAATCGTTGTGCCTCTCAAGCGGAATGCCCAAACGGGTTCGCACCACGCCCGTAAGCCAGGTATCGTCGATCCAGAACATGGACACCCTTTCCGCCTCCGCCACAATCCGCTCGGCCGTTGGCACATTGGTCACATACAGCCAGCCGGATAAATAGGCGGGATACAGGGCATGTGGATACTCCTTCTTGGTGACATACCACTTGTTGGCCCTCAGGCGAATGGGTGGCTTGGCATCCAGTACATAGCCGGAGAGCAGAGTGCTGGAGGTGGCCAGACCAGGTTGGCCCACTTCGAGTGCCTCCAGATACCTCCGCAGATGGAACACATCGTAGATAATGTCGTCGTCTAGTTTGATGATGAACTTGGCCTTATTCTTGCATTCCTGGGAGGCCCACTTCAGACCCATCACATGTTTGTAGCTCAGGTTGCGATAGTCCTCGACGAAGTTTCCCTGGAGCAGATCACCGAAACGCTTCTGTTCGCTGGCCAGCTGCTCCTGCTTGATGAAGTGCTCCCGTGCAGGCAAAGCGGCCAGCAGGAAGACCCTTTGCAGACCCATCTCGGCCAGCTTGCTTTGGGGAATCGCCTGGCGGTGGGCAGATCGCAGAGCATCGTGTCCCGAATACGAGGTGACTATCAGAATGGCTAAGGGGGTATAACGTAAAGGTTTAGTGATGCTATGCAGCTCGACATTTAAAATTGGGGCGTTCAAAAGCTTCTTTCGAAAAAACCTCTAGAGATTTGAAATCACTTTTTAAATTGTCCAAAAGCATAATGGAAGTTCCATACTTATTTTGGAGAATTGAGATCTCTTAAGATTTCTTTTATAAAGTTTTTAACGTGATGGCTAGGAACCCAGGCTTTTAGATGGCCCACTTACCCAGGAGTTCCCTTTCCGCCTTTCGGCACACATTGCTATGGAGGGTGTACTGGAAGTCGGTGAGATTCAGGAGAGGATAGGCTGATGGCGGGTGGGGATTGGGGGGATCCACCTCCGTTTCGGACGGCAGGTGCAGCAGGAACTCGTCGTCGGGGGAGTCCCTCACATTCGAGTCCCTTAAGTGGCCGGAAAAGTAGCAGAGACTCAGCAGGACGATCAAAAGGAGCGAAAGGATAATCGGCAGCAATCTTCGTCCGCGCATGCGCATCTTTCTCACATTCTACGTGGGATTCCCCTCGTTGTTTGCCTCCGTGTATGTGTGAGTGTATATACGTATAGGAATCGTGTTTTTTTAACTTTATTATTGCAATAATAACAATAACAAAGAGCAATTTGTTTTTTTTTTAGCAATTATTTTCTAGAGCTGGCACAAATTTATTCAATACTATCGCATGGAAAGCTGCCAGACCAAAAATATCGTGGGTCTGGCAGCGCCGCCAACACAATACCGTGGAACAGTATTTTTATTTTAATACTCCTGTATAATTTTAAATTTAAACTATTAGGGGCATTATTCAGAAATCATTTGGCTGCTATATAATATATCCATTCGATTTTGATCAAACAAAAATTTAATAAATAATCTTAATACTACTTACCAGTGATATTTACGAAAATATTTCCCAATGACAAATCTAATTGGAATTAACGGGTATATACAATACGTTATTTTGTAAGCAAAAGACTTGAATAATATTGACATTGACATTTTGCTACGTAAATGTAAAATACAAAATAAGATAGGCATAACTGTTTACTTGGCCAATTGTTATTTCTCATTATCTTTCTTTTAACGTCTTATAGCCTGATTCCATTGCCGCATTAAAACGCATTTAGCCAAATGCGCATTTATTTACACAGGGAATCCCATAAGGCTAAATGCCGCATTTAAAATAAATGCGATTTTTAAATGCGATTAAAAACCATTCGCCCCGAAAGTTTTTAGAAAAAATACTGGAAAATACCGATGTTTAACGATATTTTGTTCGTGCCACCACTACAACAGCTGTTTTTATAAGCAAGGTTGGCGCAATTTTTGATTTTTTTTTAATATAAAATCTATTCCGTATAAAAATGACTGAAACCTAGAGCGCACGCTGCAAATTCTGCTCGCAGTACCACAATGCATTACTGCTGGATCTCTGGAATAAAATTACTCCCACATATACGGGGATCCTTGCCTTTTTTAGAAACTGTGGTGGCCTTCATTGCAAACCCGTCATAACAACGCAATCAGCTTCTCTTCTTTGTCGTTCAAGTTGGCAAATGTCTCGGTCGCAATATGGATGTCCTGCTGAGCATTACAGAGTTTAGTAAACTCACTCATGTTCATTAATTTTAATTAATTTCTTTTGGATTTGCCAAAATTCAAAAGTAAACAAGCCCAGATCAGCTGTTCGTGCCACTCACATGTCGGAGTAGCATTAACTAAATGCTAATGCGCCAATGGAATCAGGCACATTTAAAAAGTCCACTAATGCGGCAATGGAATCAGGCTATTAATGAAATTTAAGTATTTTAAAATGTTTGAAATTTGGCGGGCGTTTGTATTTAGTGGGATATTTTAGTGGAAACTCATGGTTTGGTCGCGGGCATTTTGGGGTTTGAATGCAGTTTCACTGCCTGGTAACACTGATACTATTGTTGTTTTCTGCTTTTTCAGCGCGGTGCGGTGTCTGTGTGCGTGCGTGCGTGTGCGTGCGTCCCCAACACATGTGTATGTGTGTGCGTGTGCTTTTCTTTTTATTTTTTTTTAATAATATTTCTCACTGAGCTGCGTTAAATCGAGCCCAAAGAAAGTAAAAAGCAATCGCGAATTGCGCCTGAGAATATTTCACCTTACAAAATTCCCATTCCAAAATCGCAAAAGTGACTGCAGGCAAAGGCAGCAACAAAACGCAGTGGCAGCGACGTCGGCAGAGCAACAACAACAACAATCTAGGTGGTGCAGAAGAGAGAGAAAGAGAGAGGGAAATATATTCGACATGTGAGCTAATCAGCGATTTCTACAAACATTTTCTGCTTCTTAAGGCCACCAAAAAAAACCGAAATAACACCGAAGAAAATCCGCGAGAAGTTCGACATAACGATTAATAATTTAGTTTATGATTTATTTAAGTGACGTCGCGTGTTTTTTTTCTCAACCAGAAGATACAAAAAAGGGAGAGAAGAAAAAACAGTTAACTTGTGGCCACCAAAAAGCAGTGCAGTCGACGTCGACGTCTCTGCCGGCAGAAGTGGCAAGAAGAAGAACAAGATTGGAGCTCAAATTTTAATAATCTTTGATTTTTTTTTTGAAGCCCATATAAACAAATCATTTAAAACTTGAAAAACAATGAGCAATCGCTTAAAATACTTTACTGCAGACCCAAACCTTTTTTTTTTGGTTTAACCATGGAATATTGATTACCAAAAACAAAGAGCATTCTGAAAAAAAGTGAAAACTAGTAAAAAAACAAAAAGTGAAAATGACGGAGTATGTGGAGCTATTAAATAGTATGTCCAGTACCTTTAATAGCGATTGTGCTACTTCAACTGCGGAGGGTGGTAATCTTCTAAATTTGGATTTGGCGGAGGATAAAACCCTCAAATGGCGGAATTTGGCCAACAATCAGTTTGCCTGCAAGGACAAAAAGCACAAGGATAGTAAAGAGGAGGATAGAAAGAAGGCCACGAATTTAGAGGAAATCGAGGATATTAAGGGTCTTTTGGCGGATGTTGTGGATGCGGCAGCTGTCAAGCTGGAAGAAGAAGAGGCAGCGGCAGAAAAAGCTAAAGAAACTGCAGAAAATGCTGAAAAACAAGAAGAAAATGCAGAAGAAGTAAAAGAGAGCGCAAAAGACGAAGCTAATGAGCAACTGGAGCAGCAGGAAGAAGAAGAGCCAAAAGCCTTGGAAGAAGAAGACGAAAAGGAGGTAGAAGAGCAAGCAGTGCAGGCCATAACGGTAAAGCTGGAAAGCACCGAGCAGGCAGAGAAAAGTGCAGTAGCAGCAGCAGCAGCAGCAACGTCGGCGTCAACGGCGGCAGCGGACGTGCAGAGGGAAAACATTAAGACTGAGCAGCAAAAAAAAGAAGCAGCGTCGGAAGAAGAAGCAGCAGCTGGAAAACAGGAAGCAAATGCAGAATTACCCATAATAACAAAAGGAACACCAACAACAACAACACTGGAAACGGCAACAGCATCTCCACTTGTTGTCAATTCTGCCGACACCGGCGTCGACGTCGCTGCTGACGCAACAAATTCAAATTCGAATGTGAACACCGAGCTCCGGGCGGCGACGCCGGCAGAGATATCGGCAGCGGCAGCAGCTGATAAAAATGTAAGTACATATGTATGTCTGTGTGTGTGTGTGCGCTTCGAAATTCCTAATATTTTTTCGTTTAATTTAGAAGTCTTAACCCCAGATAAAGTATTTAAATGTTTAACTTAAAAATCTTTAAATTTTAAATGTAATACACAAGGTTTTGCAAAAAGTAATGTTTAAATATAATCTTAAATTAAAATTGGCAAGTTCAAAATTGTAGTGTTTTTGATCTTTTATTTTGTTAAAAGATGTTTTGTATATATTATTTAAATTGGCAACGAAGATTCGAAGGAAAATGTTCAGAAAATAATAGGTGTTAGGGGGTTTCCCTTTTTTATTGGTCTTCAACTTTTTCTTATCTATCCTTTATTTAAGACACGTTTTCTGTGTCATGCCATTGTTAATTATTATCACCGCCTAGGGAAAAGCTTCGGTATTGAGAAAAAAAAGTAAAACTATGACGAGCTTAAAAGCTTTGCATTTTTGCCTTAATTTATACAAAAGATTTACGGCCAAGTTAGCATAACCCTCTTCAAACTACTAAACTTATTTTCTATACCATTTAAACTTAAGACTTTGCCTCTCTTTTAATTCCTAATCAATTTCTGGCAGCAGATAAGAAGTCGTCGTCTAACTATAACTCATCACTTGGTTTAATAGTACAGGAAAATTCTTTATAATAGTTTCGAAAACATACAAAATACAAATATCACTCGCTAACATATGGGAATATTGGGTTTTACTCATAAAGTAACCAGAGTTTGGGTTCTTAAAATGCTTTACAATCAGAAAGATAGAAGGTTCTTATCTAACGTACCGTAACTTGTTTGATTTAAGGGATAGATTACTTATAACTCATCGCTGGATGAATGAAAAGAACACAACGTTAATGGAGAGAATATTTTTATAAAACTTATTTGTCATTAAAATAATTCCCTTATCAATTGTATTGTACTTTTGCTTATTATTAAATGGTGCATTTCAGCATTTTAAGTCTTTGCTAGAAACTAAAAGTCGCACAGAAAATATGGTCACTAGTGCTATAATATATATAAATATATAAATACATATGTAAAATAAAATGAAATTAGCCTTGTCTTGACCTTTACTAAACTAAATTAAATGTAATGTTCTTATTAGTTTGATTTGCTTAATATATAATTAAAAACACAGAGAGAGAACAAAGAAAGCATTTACCATTTTAACTGCAGTATTAAAACTCAAATTTTTGATTTCACCCAAATATGCCAAAATTAACAAAAGCATATATGTACATATGTGCTAATTAACGTAAAGTTGTCTTTCGATAAAGAAATAAACAAAATCGATACTAAATAATAAATAAAGTAAATTGCATAATTGTTAATATATATATGGAGGTACTATAAATCAATTAGTTTAAGAAGAGTAACAAAAATGTCTTTATTTATAATCTAACTTTCACTAATATAGCAAACTTTTAAACTATTATGTATGGTTGAGTGCCCTTGAAATCTCTTTGAATTAGAGAATAATTACCCTTATTGATTAATCGAGTTATCTGAAATGTAAATAATCTTTACCAAACTTTTGCAAGCAAAGCTTTTCTGCTGGTTAAATTATTTACAAAACGATTAAAGTTATAAACATATGCGCCTGCCTTGATGGCATTTTTCTACTCCCTCCGAAGATAAACAGGATGGGAAAAGTAAATAAATACTTTAAATACTTTTGCATAATTCGAGAGCGATTGGATTTGGATACACATTTCCATTTCCCCCACCACTCTGAACATTGGGTAATTGCATCCAAAACAATGGGGGTTAAACCATCCATCCATCCATTCATCCTTTTGGCCAGCTGGCCTCGTGTGTTTGGTAGAACCAGTTGCCTTGGCAACCCACGAATCCATTCGAGGCATTCCATCAGCGCTGCTCCTCGGTCCTCGGTTCTCAATCCTCGGTCCTCCTGCTAAACACATAGACACACACTTATATTGGGGATTTGTATTTCTCCAGTCCGCACACACACTGAATGAGTGTCTGTATTTTGCAGGAACTGGTTTCACCTGGCGGAACGCGTCGTTCGCGAAGGACACCGCGACCTACAGACACGTCCACGTCCACGCCAACGCCCACGCCCACAGCAGCCAGCAATGAAGCAGCCGTTCAGGTGGAGATGGCAGAGCCCGATTCGTCGGAGATTAGTTGTCGTCTGGTGGAGGTGCCAACGCTGGAGGAGATTGCAGCAGCAGTTAGTCTAGAGTTGAAGCAGGAGCCGGAGAAGGAACCGGAGAAGGAGCCGGAGAAGGTGCCACCAACGACGGCAGCAGCTGCAACACCCTCGCCCGAGGAGAGTCCAGCTCCGGCGCCCAAGCGAGGAAGAGGTCGTGCCAAGAAGATAAGACCGGATGCCGAGGTGGACACCAGTGAGGTGCTGCCGTTGCCCCTGGGTGAGGATTCGGTGGTGGAGAAGAAGCCGGGCCGCAAGCGGAAGCTGCCGGAGGAGCAGGCGGCGGAGCACCAGCAACTGAGCGGCGACCTGGTGGTGGTGGTGAAGACCGAGCAGCAGGAGGAGCTCCTCTCCCTGGCAATGGATGCTCCCGCGGGCGATGGCAAGCGGATGCGTCGCAGTGTCCGTCTGGGCAATCGGCTGCCCGTCGACGGTGCCACCTGGGAGGAGGTGAAGACGGAGACCCTGCTGCCCGCCCACCTGACGCCGGCGGAGCCCTCAATGATGGAGGTCAGCCCGGTGACCGTGCCACCGGCTGTTCTCGACGAGAAGACGCCACCCAAGAAGCGCGGACGCAAGGCAAAGATTCCCCCGGGGGCGAAAATCGAACCGGGTACCTCCTCCTCCTCATCCACCGTTGCGCCCACGCCCCTGACCAATGGCAGCAAGCGGACCACACCCACGGGCGGAGCCGAACTGCAGTTGCCCAAGCGTTCGAAGAGGCGAATCAAACCCACGCCCAAAATCCTCGAAAACGACGAGCTGCGCTGCGAGTTCGAGACGAAGCACATCGAGCGCATGACCCACTGGGAAACTGCAGCGGCTGCAGCAGCAGCAGCAGGAGCAGCAGGAGATGGGGATTTCGAGACACCGCCGACGGGGGTTGGAGGTGGATCCAACTCGTCGGCATCGCGACAGAAGAGCGACAAGTCGGATGGCAGCAATTTCGATGGTCTTCCGGGCCATCCCGCTGGCACGAGTGCCATCAAGAAGCGACTCTTCTCCAAGTCGCAGCGCGACATCGAGAACTATGGCGCCGCCATGCTGGCCAAGAGCAAGGTGCGTCCGTGCCCAGATGTGGAGCAGTTCCTCAGCGACATCAAGGCGTCGCGCATCAATGCCAACCGCTCGCCGGAGGAGCGCAAGTTGAACAAGAAACAGCAGCGCAAACTGGCCAAGCAGAAGGAGAAGCACTTGAAGCATCTCGGTCTGCAGCGGAATCACAGCGAGGAGGCCACCGACAACGACAGCTCCAATACGGACAATGAGTTTGTGCCCACCACCAGGGTGCAGGTGGGCAAGCCCAGTGTCACGCTGCGTGTGAGGAACACGCAAGTGGCCAAGGAGTTGCCCACAACATCGGCGGCGGCTGCTGCTCAGCAGAAGTCATCCGCCAGCCGAAATCCGGCCATTGTGCAGCCAGCCAAGGTCACGCGAAGAGTGGCAGTTCGAGGAGCAGGAGGAGCAGGAGGAGCGGGAGCAACGACTGTGACAGCCGGAGCAAGTGCAAGCTCAAGTACCTCCATTGCCACACTCGATGCGGAGCAGCTGCACATGCTAAACACCTCGATCCTGGCGGATGTGACGCCCATCAGGGACGTGGATGCCAAGCCCGGCACCTCGAAGACGGCCAAGTTCATCTGTCTGTGCCAGAAGAGTTCGCAGTACTATGCCCGCAATGCGCCCGACTCCTCCTACTGCTGTGCCATCGACCACATTGACGAGCAGAAGATCGGCTGCTGCAACGAGCTCTCCGCCGAGGTGCACAATCTGCTGCGGCCCAGCCAAAGGGTCAGCTACATGATCCTCTGCGACGAGCACAAGAAGCGCCTGCAGTCCCACAACTGCTGTGCCGGCTGTGGCATCTTTTGCACTCAGGTGAGGCCATTCCATCATCACTCACCATCTATAAATCTATCTGGACTAAGACAATGTTATCAATTTGCAGGGCAAATTTGTACTGTGCAAGCAGCAGCACTTCTTTCATCCGGACTGCGCCCAGCGTTTCATCCTGAACACGCCGTACGAGGAGGGACGTGGTCAGGAGGAGCAGGCCGTCAAGTTCAGTAGTCCCATGCTGGTGCTCAAGTGCCCCCACTGCGGACTGGACACTCCGGAGCGCACCTCCACGGTGACCATGAAGTGCCAGTCGCTGCCCGTCTTTCTGCCCACCCAGAAGTACAAAATGTGAGTGCAACTCTGGGTTTTAATATTGTATAGCAACTAGTCAACTAATTGCCTTTACCATCCACGCAGCAAACCCGCCAAACTGACCACCTCCTCGCATCTGGCACAGTTCGGAGGAGCTGGAAAGGCCAATAGTCCAGGAGCCAAGGCCAAAAGCAAGGGGGTAACTTCCTCCGTCGCCGCCGTTGCCGCGGGCGCAGCATCCTCTTCATCATCCGCCTCGAAGACAAACGGAAGCCAAAAAGGCAAGGCGGCGGGCAACTCCGGCCAGGCTCTGAACACGATCAACTTTGCGCAGTTGATACCGGACTCCGTGATGAACGTGGTGCTGCGTGGGCATGTGGTGTCGGCCAGTGGACGCGTGACCACGGAGTTTACCTCGCGGGACATGTACTATGCGGTGCAGAACGATGACCTGGAGCGCGTGGCAGAGATTCTGGGTGCGTTTTTGCTGCACTGCATCACCTCTAATCCCTGTAATTCCTCTAATCCTTATGTTTACTGGGCAGCTGCCGACTTCAATGTGCTGACCCCCATTCGGGAGTACCTGAATGGCACCTGCCTGCATCTGGTGGCCCACCAGGGCACCCTCCAGATGGCCTACCTGCTGCTCTGCAAGGGCGCCAGTTCCCAGGACTTTGTCAACATTGTGGACAGCGAACTGCGCACGGCACTCATGTGTGCGGTGATGAACGACAAGTGCGACATGCTAAATCTCTTCCTGCAATGCGGAGCCGATGTGGCCATCAAGGTGGTTACTACTACTACTACTACCTGATTCTAAGCCTATTTAACCAATATAAACTGTGTGCTATCCACAGGGACCCGATGGCAAGACCTGTCTGCATATTGCAGCCAAGTTGGGCAACGTGGAGGCCACGCAGTTGATTGTGGAGAGCTATCGCGCCTCGCGGAACATCACCAGCTTTCTGAGCTTCATCGATGCCCAGGATGAGGGCGGCTGGACGGCCATGGTCTGGGCAGCCGAACTGGGACACACGGATATCGTGAGGTGGGCTCGTCTAATGCCATATTCCCCTTGAATTTAAATAAAACTTGGCGAACTTTCGCAGCTTCCTGCTCAACCAAGAGGCCGATCCGAACATCTGCGACAACGACAACAACACGGTGCTGCACTGGTCCACGCTGCACAACGACGGACTGGACACCATTAAGGTGCTGCTGCAGGCGGGAGCGGATTGCAATGTGCAGAATGTGGAAGGCGATACACCGCTGTGAGTATTGGCTATTGCCTGTCAAACCGAGTCAGAAGTGAAGAAGAATCCTCCATTTCCTGTCCCCTACAGACACATTGCATGCCGGCACTCGGTCACACGGATGTGCATCGCTCTGATCGCCAATGGAGCCGATCTGATGATCAAGAACAAGGCGGAGCAGCTGCCCTTCGATTGCATACCCAACGAGGAGTCCGAATGCGGTCGCACCGTGGGCTTCAACATGCAGATGCGCAGCTTCCGGCCGCTGGGCCTGCGCACGCTGGTGGTCTGCGCGGATGCCTCCAATGGGCGCGAGGCACGGCCCATCCAGGCGGTGCGCAACGAGCTGGCCATGTCCGAAAGCGAGGACGAGGCCGACTCGCTGCTGTGGCCGGACTTTCGCTACGTCACGCAGTGCATCATCCAGCAGAACTCGGTGCAGATCGACCGGCGCGTCTCGCAGATGCGCATCTGTTCCTGTCCCGACAGTTGCAGCAGCGATCGGTGCCAGTGCAACGGAGCCTCCTCGCAGAATTGGTACACCGCCGAGAGCCGCCTCACCGCCGATTTCAACTACGAGGATCCAGCGGTGATCTTCGAGTGCAACGATGTCTGCGGCTGCAATCAGGTGAGCAGCAGGGTGCTCCTATGCTCTTGCTATGTGCTCAAACTGAAATCCTTCTCTAATTTCCGGGTGCAGCTGTCGTGCAAGAACCGTGTGGTGCAGAATGGCACGCGGACTCCGCTGCAGATCGTCGAGTGCGAGGAGCAGGCCAAGGGATGGGGCGTTCGAGCACTGGCCAATGTGCCAAAGGGCACCTTCGTGGCCACCTACACGGGCGAGATCCTCACCGCCTTGGAGGCCGATCGGCGCACCGACGACAGCTACTACTTTGACCTGGACCACGGGCACTGCATCGATGCCAACTACTACGGCAATGTGACCCGCTTCTTCAACCACTCGTGTGAGCCAAATGTCCTGCCCGTTCGCGTTTTCTACGAGCACCAGGACTACCGATTCCCCAAGATCGCCTTCTTCGCCTGCCGCGACATCGATGCCGGCGAGGAGATATGGTAAGTCCTTAATATTTGAGTAATTAAATTAGCTCATCTCTACTTATTTATGTTTTCAATCCCTCAATTATTATGAAAAGCATATAAATTTTCTACTTACTGTTCCAATTTAAATTTATGAACTAAGAGATCATGTGAAAGATTCAGAATTCTTTAGATTTTAGCTCATATAAGTTTTGTATCTTTTGTTCTTAATAACATTAATTTATTTTATTGATTGCCAGTTAAACTAAACAGAACTTAGGTTTTTTAATAAGGTGATAATTAACACAACTACTATTCCAAATGTTTGGTTTTCGACTTTTATGCTTTATTTGAGTTGCTTGCTCAAAGCGTTAATTGGGCCATTTATTGATAAATGTGTTTTTCGCAAGCCAAATTAAACATTTTTTTTTTGAGTAACCAATTAAGGAAGCCAGAGAAATTGAGAAAGATCAGGAATAGTTGAAAGACATTTATACTTTGAGTTTCTAATTTAATTACCCTCAAAAAGAAAAAGCTTTTAAATTGTTTGCATATTCCTGTGGAAGTCTTAACCAAATGATGTTTGCTTCCTTCTTTTTAGCTACGACTACGGGGAGAAGTTCTGGCGCGTGGAGCACCGCTCCAGTGTGGGTTGTCGCTGCCTGACGCCCGCCTGCAAGTACGCCTCCCAATCCCCAAGCACAAATGCCTCGCCCACGGATGCAGCGACTGCAGCGGAACCGGAAATGGGAATGGGAATGGAAACGGAAACGCAGCCACCCACAAATGCCTCAGGAGAAAAGGAGCAGGCGTAGGCCACTACCACCAGCACCACCATTACCATCACCATAACACCATCACCATCACTACCACCACCAACCACGACCTCAACTCGAAATGATTCCAGACTCCTCAGTCTCAGCCGACAACAAAAAGAAGAGAATACCCACCAAGCCACATGCATCAGACATCTGACATCACAGCACCAGCAGGAACGATCGCCATATATATAGGATATATATATATACACACATATATATATATATAGTATGCATGATGAATCGAAATTGGAGCCGCCTCCACGACGAGGGCCTTCTTCTTCGACTGCCAAATGTTTCATGGTTTACAAATTTTTGTCTAATTTTACGTTTACATTTAGTTTTTGTTTATTATTAATTTTTGTTTGATTTTTATTCATTTGTTTTTACCCCTAATTATTAATATTTTTATTATCTCCCATTATTTTTTTATGTTTTATACGAGAAACTAACCACTTAAATGGGCAAACTATTTATGTGCAAATCCCAATTCCTTACCGACCTTTTTGGATGTGTGTGTGTGTGTGTGTGTGTGTGTGTGTGTGTGTGTGCGAAATGTAAATGTTTTAAACTTAAAATTAGACTTAGAGTTTATCGGGTGAATGGAGAATTACAATTGCGTTAAAGTGCATCTAGTCATAAGAATGAGGGAGATAGAGGTTTGAAAAAAAGAAAGGTAGGAGAGCTGGAAAACTCGTTTGTCTAGCTGGCAGTGTATTTTAAAGTTGTATTAGCATGTTCAAGAAATCAGTAAAATTAATTTGTTTTATTAGCTTCAAAAGGCCTCAAAGTTTAGTGTCTTTGTTCAAACAGGTTTGGCTTTGACTTTTACCATTTCAATTTCATTAGAAGGAATTAAAAAACAATTTCAACTATACTGAATGTAACAATAAAGCGAAAGAAAACGAGGAATTATTAAGCGGAAAACATGTTTTTTTTAATAACAAGCATTGATTGTAGATTAACATATAGCAGATAAGCTAAAGAGGAAACAGTGTCTATACAACCATATATAGTATATTGAATATATATATGTCTTTGTGCAGGGTAAAGTACTGATAGTCGTTAACAGAAGAATAAGTTCAAGTTGTTTTGTATTTAGCCAGAAAGCCCCCAATATATATATATATACACACACACACACACCCCCCCAAACTGGACACCACCTGCTCCTCCAATCCCGGCCAGAGAGATTTGCACAATTCGTTTAAGAATTTTTCAGTTTGCCAAGCAAAAGTTAGCCAAGCCACAAGTGCCTCAAAGAGAGTTATACCCCAAGTCCCCGTACCGCACATCATCCACTAGGAAACAGCCCCGCCCCCCGATACGGCTTCAGACCAACAAGGTTTATATACAGGAACTATCTATCCAGCTATCACTCGACCAAGATCACAAACTGCAATGCATTTTGGGACATGACCCTTCGATAGTCGACAGAGAATTGAAACGACGGACTGCGGTTCACTCACTATACTTAACGTGTGTAGAGTTCTCCGATTCCGATCATATATTCATATATTAGATGTATACAAATTAGTATCCTTAGTCCTCGTAGCATATCCCCCGCGTCTAACGATCCCCCGTATGTGCTATATAGTATATAGACTTGGATATCGGGCTATATTAACTTTGATGTGCGTTTTGCGTCTTTAGGTGTAAGCTGTAAATGTTTGTAACGACAATATAGCAGTATGTGTAGTTTAAGATGTAGGTTATTCCCCTTTTTTCCTTCCGCCTTTCAGCCACTATCCCTACCCCTAACCACTCCCCTTCTCGCTCCCGACACAAGGTCAAGGGTCAAAGGTCAAAGGACACAAGACGTTCCGCCCGCGACATTTCAACTGGCATTTCTATACGTATTTGTGTACCTACGATAAGCAAAAACAAAAAAGAAAGATTTATAAACGAATATGAGTGTATATGGAGTATGTATGTACGGTTTCGATGTCCCCGGATCTATTGCATCCGGATCACACTTAGAAATTATAGCGTAACTCACAAAACATGTTTGTTTTCATTTTAATTGTTATCGCTGACAGCGAATGGCTGTCTTATCTTATTTGTTTTGTTTGCTTCGGTTTCGTTTTCTTTTTTTTTTCTGTTTTTTGTTTTTGCAGACATTTCTCGAGTTGTTTCACCCAAAATAATGCCGATTAGTTTGGGGAATTCGAAAGTATGCCTCCATTGGAGAGGCACATTTCGTTTGCAATTACGTTAACGTTTAGCCATAAGATATTGAATCAATCAAATAAACAATAATTATGAACAGCATAAATGGTGCGGTCAATAAACAAATATCATCAGTGTGCAGAAACATTTAATTTTCTCCATTAACTGTCAAAATGGGAAGAATTTTATTTTCTATTGTTCTTTGGAAATTTAAAATAACATTTAGGGGCTGGTATATTAATTGTTTAAAATATTCGAAAATTCAAAGTAGTATTAAATGCCAATAGTATTTTTCTTTGAGCTAATAAAAGTTTAAGGACTGTATAAACAGAATTTATTTCAGATATGAAATTTATGTTTACATAAATAATGCATTCACTAAGTCGCGATGTTCAAATTCGCGCGCCAAATGAATCGTTGGCCAGTGCTGCCACACGCTATGCAGTTATCGAAATCGAAATAACAGCTGATTTTTTGTTTTGTAATATTTGAGGTTGGTTTTCTGGTTTGTGCTGCTATTTTATGAAACTAAATTATTTTAAGTCGTTTTTTCTGTGTTATAGCGGTTGCAAAGGCTTTAAGAGTGGTGCCTCTGCGGGAAAACCAGTCAAAACCCCAGTGACAGCGAAGAGGAGTGCGAGGAAAAACAAGGAACCGGAGACCGGCAAGACAAAATCACTGCAAAAGCACCCAGGAAGATGAGTTTTCCGGAGAAGGCGGAGCGCACGAAGTGCTGGAGCAATCGGGATGAGTACTGGAAGTGTCTGGATGAGCACGCCCCAAAGCATAGCTCCACCAGCGGCGAAAAGGTGCCATCCGCCTGCCAAAATCTCCGCAAGCTATTCGAGCAATCCTGTCCAGGCCAGTGGGTCAAGCATTTCGACCGCAAACGCACCTACGAGCAGTTCAAGGAGAAGATGGCCTCTGGCTACGATCCGCTGGACGAGCGCACAAAGGCCGGAAAGCAGGCCAAGTGATGACCCGATCCGGATTTCTTCGCAGGATTCCTAGGAGCATCCGGTGGTCTCCGCAGTCATCCGTGTTTTTGTACTGTTGTAGGGTAGTGTAAATAAATAACCCATCTAGCTATATGACTACAAATGGAGATCCCTTTTAATTTGATTTTTATATAAACTATTTTTCAAGATGTTTTGTTTAAGTTCAAAAAAATATATTTATTTGTATATTTTATTTAAATATCTACATGGCCATTGTGGGGTTAAAGTTTCAGCCGGCAACACCAATGTTCACACACCAAATTCGTAACTTATCGATAACTTCATCAACGGCGGAAAGTTCACGCTCTAGTTTATGTATTTTTTTTACAATTCAAATAGAGATCGTCACTTGGAAAAGTTTAAAAAAATATTAACATTTTTATATTATACATTTATTGACATGCCCGTTTAAGGGTTAAAGCTTCAGCCGGCAAAATCAGTGTTCACACACCAGATTTCCATACTAAGTTATCGATAATTCCATCAGCGGCGGAAAGTTTGCGTGCTAATTTATGTATTGTATTTAACAATTTAATTGCAGATCGTCACTCAAAGCAGAAGTTCAAACCGCTGCAGATGACGTAATGGAGTCGATTACCATTGGAGTTCTGACCAGTAGGTGTGCCCAAGTGCCCCAAAAGCTGGAAATTAAACGTTTCTTGTGTTTCCCTTAGTTAGTGACACCTGTTCCAAGGACAAGACGCAGGACAAAAGTGGTCCCAAACTGAGAGACCTTGTCCACGAATCCTTTGCCAATGCCCGGGTGAAAGAGAACATAGTTCCGGACGACAAGGAGCTGATCCAGGGGCAGCTGCGCAGGTGGATCGACGATGAGGATCTGCGAGTGATCCTGACCACCGGCGGCACAGGCTTTGCGCCACGGGATGTGACACCTGAGGCCACGAAACCGCTGCTGGACAAGGAGTGTCCGCAGCTGTCGCTGGTCATTACCCTGGAATCGCTGAAGAAGACCCGATTTGCCGCGCTTTCCCGCGGACTCTGCGGCATTGCGGGCAACACCCTGATCCTCAACTTTCCGGGCAGCGTAAAGGCCGTAACCGAGTGTTTTGAGACCGTCAGGGATCTCCTGCCCCATGCCCTTCATCTCATCGGGGACGAGGTGTCCTTGGTGCGGAAAACCCATGCGGAGGTCCAAGGATCCGCCCCCAATCGCCACATATGCCCCCACAAAACGGGCGCCGGCACCGATTCCGATCGCAATTCACCATTTCCCATGCTGCCCGTGCAGGAGGTGCTCTCCCTGATCTTCGGAACGGTCAAAAGGACCAATCTGGACCACTTGTGGCAGCTTAACTCGCCGGTGAACATTCCACCCTTTAGGGCTTCCATCAAGGACGGATACGCCATGAAGTCCACCGGATTCTCGGGCAGTAAGCGTGTTTTGGGCTGCATAGCCGCCGGAGATGCAGTGAGTCCAGTTTACATATGTGATAGCGATGGCGATATGTATTTTAAAACGGAGCGTAGGTTGTTATACTCTTAATATCCGTTTGCATCTATGTATCACCTTAGCAAATCCAATGCATAACAGATTCTAGTGCTTCTTCCGTTTAACTCCCATCTCCGCCTGCCTTTCAGCCCAATTCCTCGCCCCTGGCGGAAGATGAGTGCTTTAAAATAAATACAGGAGCACCGCTGCCGCTGGAAGCGGATTGTGTGGTGCAGGTGGAGGACACCAAGCTGCTGCAGCGCGACAAGCACGGCAAGGAGAGCCTGGTGGACATAATGGTGGAGCCACAAGCCGGTCTAGATGTGCGGTAGGTATTTCAAGAGTATCGCCCCGGAAAAAGAAACCCAATTAAAGCGTGTTTCTTCCCTCACAGGCCTGTGGGTCACGATCTGAGCATCAAGGATCGCATCTTTCCCGGCCCAGATCCCTCGCCGGTGGTGGTCAAATCCCTGCTGGCCTCCGTGGGCAGCAGGATGACCGTACCCAAGCCCAGGGTGGCCATAGTGTCCACCGGCAGTGAGCTGCTCTCCCCGCGCGATCAGCCTGTGCTGGGCAAGATCTACGACTCGAATACGACCATGTTGGTGGAACTGCTGCTCTACTTTGGCTTCGACTGTATGCACACGAGTGTGCTAAGCGATAGGTGAGCGATTTTAACTCTTTTTATGCTGATTGCTATATTTGTTGTGCTTTCCAGCTTTGAGCAGACTAAGGAATCGCTGTCCGATCTTTTCGAGGTGGTGGACTTTGTCATTTGCAGCGGTGGTGTCTCAATGGGCGACAAGGATTTCGTGAAGCCCGTGCTGGAGGAGCTTCAGTTCGAGCTCCACTGCGGCAGGGTGAACATGAAGCCAGGGTAGGCTGCCCTCGATGGGAATTACATCCCAGAAGTGGTATATTAACATTAATATTAATATATATCCCAACAGCAAACCCCTGACCTTTGCCAGCCGCCAGAATAAGTACTTCTTCGGCCTGCCCGGGAATCCCGTGTCCGCCTTCGTCACCTTCCACCTGTTCGCCCTGCCCGCCATCCGCTGGGCAGCTGGCTGGGATCGCCACCAGTGCACCCTGGCCGTGGTCAATGTGAAGGTGGGTTCCCCATTCCACATTCTCCATTCCTCATTACCGAAAACTATTTAACCACATTGTGAAATCGTGAGTGGCGACAGTCTATGGTGATTGATGATGGCTATCTCGTAGCAATCAATCTGTGGCTTTCAGAACACGGATTGCTGTAGGTCGTCGCTTCTGACGCTGCTCGCTTTATGTGGCTGACACTCTTGCTTTCAAGTGGTCCGCCTTATCTGTTTGTTTTCTTCGCGATAAGCAACAGTTCGCCAGTCACCTAAATTACACGGCGCTTGGCTAAATGCGGATGTTTGTAAACACTTTTCAAATTGGCAGCAATTATCTGTTAAGCTAGTAATTATGATTATTTACTAGAGGCTTTGTAAGTTAGTTATCATGCGGTAGTTAATCTATAATTTGAAAGTTACTATTTACTATTTACTTTTAAAGGAAGCCAAAATAATTATGTACCTAATAAGTACCTTTAGTAAGGTATAATGGTATCTCCTTCAGATTATTTGCTAGATGTTTTGTAAATCTTTACTTTACAGCTTACGCGCTAGTCATTATTTATAATTTGAAAGTCACAATATCGAAAAAATTGATTTTTAAAAGAACCCCAACATATCGTGTACCTTTTAGGTACCTTTAAAGCTAGTGAGGTATTTTGGTGGTTATTAGCTAGAGGCTTAGTAAGTAGTTTATTACGCGTTAGTTATTTTTTATAATTTGAAAGGTTCCTTAACTATTTACTTTTGAAAAGAAATTAAAAAATATTTTGTACCTAATAAGTAGCTCTGTAAAATTGTTTTTATTTATTAAAATAGCTTTGTTTATAGCATGTTTTTGACCATTTAATTTTATTGCAGTTACTCAACGACATTAGTTTGGATGGCCGTCCGGAGTTCGTTCGCGCTTCAGTGATTTCGAAATCAGGAGAGCTGTACGCCAGTGTCAATGGAGATCAGGTAAGCGATTGTCCCCTCAAAAACGTGCCACATCTAATGATTGAACCAAATTCCAGATCAGCAGTCGTTTGCAGAGCATTGTGGGTGCGGATGTGCTGGTCCACCTGCCAGCACGAACCTCTAATCCTGATCGCCATTTGGCCAAAGCTGGCGAAGTTTTCCCGGCCTCCGTGCTGCGCTACGACTTCATCTCCAAGTACGAATAGGAATTGAATGCCCCGCCCCAAAAAACCCATCGAATGTTAGGCAGACAGGACAATAGATTAGCACAAAGATTTATTTTTTCATGTATCGTAACATTACATATATGATGTCCCTCAATTTACACCTCTTAGCAGTGTGTACAAAAACGAGTATAAAGTAAATATTATAAAGGCCTTCCTAAAGGAAGAAATATCATCAAACAAAAATAATTTGCAGACAGGTTAAAACAGAAAACAGGAAGCAGCAGTTGTATAGGGTCAAGAAATGGGATTGGGATCTGGATATGGATCGGGAACAGGATCAGGATCGGGATCGGAATCGGGAGCATATATACAGGAAGCGGAATCGGAAAGGAGACGGATCTCAAACCGACTGAGTGGCGGACTCGCC